GGCTTTCTGAAACCACTCGCTGGGCTGATGCCTCTTGACAAAGTCCAATGTTCCAAGACTCGAGTCAGTCTCTGTGTAAAACTGCCGCTTCCTCAGATTAAGAAGCAACAGCTGCAAGAGTTTAGGCACCTTTTGCGAAAGCTTGCAGAAACGAAGGTAAATAAGTGACTTCTGTCCCAATCGACCGGCGTATTGGGACCAAAGATTCCCCCCGAGGATGGCCAACGATGTGTTGAAGCAAATGCCTCGACGTACTCTTTTCTGGACTGCGGTTATCTTGTGTCGAAGCTGAGACGCTGTCAAGGGATTGAAAAAGCTGGAGACTCTTTGACTCTATTGCCTCCGAGACCAGAAAATTCGAGCGGTTATCGAAACCAACTGACTAATTTTCCAGTGCATATATATCGGCGTTCGAAATGGGATTTTAAAGATTTGGTTTACCCTAAATGGAATGTGAAAATTTCATTCAGTCATTGCAAACCCAACCAATTCTTGACAACATGTTCGAAATGAAATAAAGGCACTGCATATGTTAGAATAGCATTATAAAATTTAAAACCATCGTTTTACGCTGAACGTTTTTAAATGTTGCTAAGCTAAAGGTCTGTCAACGAGTAATCAGCCAACTCCTGCCTCTTTTCCGTCGCATGAGTAAGCGCTAGAAATTTGGCTTTGCAGAAGACCGCTGGACATCCTGTGGATGGAATTGAAAACCGCAGAACCGGTCACTCAAGTGGACTGAGTTTGATGAATGCTGTACCTCCTTAACGTGTGATAGGCGAAATCAGCAGTCCCGACGCGGAAGAATGGAATGAGGTGGCTCTGCACCGAACCGATGAACCGATGACGTCAAGGGTTAAAAGGAAACAAACAACAGCAGCGCCATGAGAATCGCACTAAATCAAAGACAGAGTTTTGAAACGCATTGGATCAGGCCTTCTTTTCCTTGCCAGAGGGTAATTCACTGCGCTTTAATCAGATGTTTTAAAATCGACATACTCATGAGGAAAATGGCGACAAAGAAACCAGTGCTGATGATTACGGTAATGTAGATCAACATTTCATTGCTCTTTAAAGCGACCGCGTTCGATTCCATGGTATCATTGGTGTTCATGACTAGCTCTACAAAGAAATGAGACAGTTAAATGAGGACAACGATCACGACCTTCGTACTTGGGCAGGCCGAGTCTGGTTTTAGGAGTATATCACCGCTGACGCACTTGCACACTTGGCTCTCATTCAGGAAGTGGCATACGCTGTCTTCAGGGCAGTCGGCTAAACACGGAAAAATGATCACTTCTCCCGGCCCGTCGTTGGCGTTCGCGTAGAACACCGCCACCTCGTCAATACTGTTCGACCAGCCGCCTTCTCCGTGGCTGAAATTGCCCCCATCGCCACCTCAAAATAATCATTAAACAATGAACACCTGATACGCGAAAAAAAAGACCTATGAATCCTCC